TTTAAAATTTTCTTTTTGGATCACATCTGTATGTATGCTCACTAATTAGAGAAGTCGGTATTATACATCTCTGAAAGAGATCAGTGGCAACATCTCTAGCCCATGAAGAGCTTACTACCTCTTCGTGCCATTTGAAATATTTTTTTACATTTTTAAGTATGAAAAACTACTATCTTGCAAGCCTAATGAGGCAGCTATCTGCAAGAAGCTGTGTTACAGGATGAATTGTTGTATCACTGTTTCGGAAATGCTGTATGTGTCATTTAGACCAGTGGCTACTACAAGCAGTAGGGAATGAGTATTATATTAATGACCATATTTGACAACCTGTGTCCATAATCTGTTTTTCACTGACTTTTCCTTTTTATGCCAACAATTATGCTCTCATCTGGAAAAATTAGACTAATGCAATTTTCCAAAAGCTGTTAACAAGGCTTTTAATATTAAAATGGCTATATATCCTAATGTGCCATCCTGAAACTATCTTTGTGTTGGGGTCATGAAATGAGGTACAGTTAGGGTGTATTCTGGAGTTGCAGAGCATGGAGAGAAGCCTACATACTTCAGGAAGCATAGAGGTTCACTCAGTATACGGCACTCTTGTCACTGAATTTCTAACAGCATCTTCTGGGGTGATATTTGCACTGAAGCTTTCTGAAGTTGGTGGAAGTATAGTAAACCCTTGTCCGATTGCAATTTTGTAATATTTGTGTGATTGTTGCTTCTTGAAGGACCTGACAAAGTGTGGGGACCTGCATATTCATCTGCTTTTCTAAATTCATCATATCCAGGAAATATAATAAAATAAATTACCTAGTAGATTCAATGAAATATATTTTTCCTGTTTGTTCAAGCCCATCTTTCTTCAAAAATCCAATTCTGTTTGTGACTCAAGGTAGCTTAGACCAGTATTATTTGATAGTCAGAAACTATGGCTATAGCAACTACAAAACTTGGATCTTTATTCTTACATGGCATAGCCAGTATGTTCTTCCAGCTAAACTCTGACATGTAACTCTTAAATAGTTATTCACAACCATGATTAAAAAAAAAAACCACCTAAACCATTAGACTGTGTCATAGGTTTCCATGTATAAAAGCTGTTGTGACTTCCTCAGAACTGTATAAAGTCCTCTGCAATCCACAGATTTCACAAGTTTATATGATGATTCCCCTACATCCTTCAAGATAACTACATGGCTACAGAATTTTCAGAGGGAAAATTAACACTGTTTTTTTGGACTAAGCCAAAGAATGAACTTTAAACATCTTTTTTCAGTGAAGATTTGTTGCAGAGTAAATGTCCTCTAGAATCCATAATCCAATTTTTACAAAGTCCCTAGAACAGCAGAACCTTTTAATTCTGGATATGTGTGTCTTTCAAAAATATCTTCTGAAATTAGCTGTGTTCCTTCGGTTTCACTATGATAAGAGAAATTAACAAATACCCTTTGTTCCATTTTAGCTCTGTTACTTTTGTATTTCACTTGAATCCAAGTAAAATACAAGTTTGTATTAGCAGATTTATGTGACAGCATAAGCATTTATATGTGCACCAACATTCAGCCAGTCTAAGGCAGCTATATCATGTTTTGTTTTTACAAAGACACTGTACCATACCCGGTAGATGAACATTTAGTCATGTGAGTTGGATCCTAAACTTCTAAAGCTTTGGCAAAGATGTTTTGATGAACTGAAACAAAAGCTCTGCCTCACTGCAGCTCTGCCTTTCCACTAGATTCCAATAATTCAGTCATGCATCCTTCTACTTCTTTTTCATCCCAAACACTCTTTAAAAAAATAATTTCCTTTACCAATTAAATGAATTGAACTCTGTTATAGATATGAACATTCATATATAAATACGTAGATACGGTCTCCCACTTGGTGACCAGAAGTCCAAAGTATCTTAAAAAGCAATGTTTCTAACAAATTAAGAAAGAGAAAAAACTCAATATGTTCATATCCACGTGTAAAAAAGAAATCAAACCCACAAAAAACACCTATTGTTCAAAATGGATAATATAATCCATTAAGTAACATAGATCATTGGAGAATACGTCACAGGGTCACATAGTACCCTATTTGCCATAGCTAAATGCAGCCTCCCTGGTAGCATTTTAATTTTCAGTCCTACTTATGCTTTGAAATCATCAAGTAATTGTCACTTTAGCACCCTTCAATGATTTCTAATCAAATGTGGAAAAGAAACCTAAACAGAGAAAACCCCTCTATTCAGTGCTTAGATTTGGATACGAGAGGGGGAGGAAGTTTATTTTTTTCACTCATTAACTCATTGTGATTTTTTGTGAACTATTTTAGTTAGAATGAATAGATCTTTCTATGCTGCATTTTGGTTTTCCATATCAAATGCCTTGAATTGTCATGTTAATTAGCACAGACAAGTCTGCTTTTTATTCAGTCCATCATTATTTTCTCATACATACCCTTGTTTTATCCTTACTTTTTTCTAATTTACATAATCACAAGGTTTTGAATGAATGCTGCTTAATAATAATTTGTTTTAATAAAATTTATTTTAAGTAATTATTACACATTTAAGAGTTGCAGTGTATGTACAGAGGAGATGGTGTTTCGCTGGTAGATGTTGCTTCTCATCTGTCGTATCTCTAGTACTGCTTCTTATGTCCATATAAAGGGTTTTTTTCTTAGTGTCTTCTAAAATATGATTAAAAATATCATTAATCAAAGGGATTAAAAACTACTTGGTTATTTATTTTAGGGAGACTGACAAGATTTTTTAAAAATTGTCTTTATATTCACTTGTTAATAACAACTTTCAATAACTGCAAGATGGTAGTGCTGTTTTTCAAAGGCTTAAGATAGAGCTAGCGTTTTCTATCTGTATTTGAGACAGAGAAAAGCTTGGTAATTTCAAATTCTTTCAAAATTGTTACAGTACAATGTTATTTTTAAATAGACAGAGGAAAAATGCAGGAGAAGGCTCAGGACAAGCTGTACTGATTTCCTGAACCACAGAAAAATGTAATGTAAACTTTGCATTTAGACAGCTGTTCAAAAACCTTAGTTCAATTTGATTTCTCCCCATCATTGCGAGCTTTCATATTTTGCCTGGAAGAAAAGTAAAATCTCATATTTAAAATGTAAGGCTTGGATTCTGTTAAGTTTCATCGGCATTGATTGTCACACATCTTTCGACATCCATCTTTCTCTTCCTGATCAAATCTCTGTAAAAAATACATAAGTTGGGGTAAGGAGGACAATAGCTATAATATGGTGAACTAGCTAGCACTTTTTGAAGTTTAATGAACGATTTTTTTTCATGTGAGGGTGCTTTGACTTTCTGGGAGCACATGGAGCACATACAGTTTCTACGAGAATGCATAGTGAACAAACCAGGACGGGCTATAGTGTATGATATTTATAAAAAGAGAATCTCTAAATATTTCTGTGCCTCTGATGGAAAAGTATGAAAAACTGATCTGATTATATTTTACAAGGTGTTTCAGTGCAGTTTTCCCAAAGTTGCTATGTAGATAATTCAGCAGGAATGCTTTCATGTGTACAGAAGGCAGAAATGTACCTGGGATTCTGGCACTGCCCTTGTTTTCCAAAAATATCATGGAAAATCACTAACATTGAAAAAGTCTAACAGGAGAATCAGTAACAAACTAAAACAAGCATCTTGGTTAGGCATGTGAGTATAGGTATTATGAAAACATGTTGAGATTGTTTCCTACTAGTGAAGTAATGTCTTATCAAGAAATCATGTAGGTGTTGTATAGACCTTTTTCAGTGTTGTCCTTCTTCCCCTCCACCCTTCTGTTTCAGTTCACGTGACAGGACTTTGTACTCATTTACTGATAATAAGTGCACAGCCATCTTATTTGAAAACTAGAATCAGAAACTGAAACAATTCCGTGTTGCAAGGTAAAATGTCCCTTCTGCCCCAAAGTCTGTAATTTTATGTATAGTTTAATTGTAAACATTGAGGTAATGTGTATTTGGAGTTCATATTCTTCCACAGCTCAAATTAAAATCTTCATGGCAGGAAATTAGCAATCATAAGAAATAATAACATATTCAGTATTGTCTTTTTCTCATTAACCTAATGCAATGTATTTTTTATAAGAAAGAAGAAAAGGTTGCTAATACCATCTACTCTCATCTGTGAGATATTATCAAATATCTCACAGTGGCAAATTATTTTGTAACCCAATGGACTTTATTATTAGCTATTGCAATGAAGTAGAACAATTCCCTGCCTACAACAGGTTAAGAGGAGCATAAGCATTGAATTGTGAAAGCATTTTGAACAAAAAAGAGAGAAGGTTGTTTATAAACTATAAGATTTTCCAGCTGTGCAACTGTTTTTTTCATAGCACTTAAGCTCTAGTTGTTTAAAAAGTAATGTTAAAAGTGTATGTAATTTTGATTATGGAGTCTGTTTCAAGAATCAAGTGGAAATGAATTGTTAAATAGTTTTGGAGGGGAGTGGGTAAGTTTGTAAGAAGTAAGCTTGTAGTTTTGAAGTTTGTGTGCAGTATATGTAATCTGACAAAATCCATTCAATTCAAAAGTGGAAGACTACAAGACTTAAATGTAACTTTCAATGAGTTTTTAAATAATTCTGATATTTTCCTTTGTAACCTCATACACATCCAACCTGTAAACTGGGGATAAACACAGCTACTGAGGGGACAGTATCTATAAGAGGAATCACTAAGACAGAGGAGGATGGCAAGGAATAATAGAGAAAGAGAAAAGGTAAGGAAAAAATAATCACTTCTGGATAGGTTATATTTGCTGGGCTTAAGCAGAAAAACTGCATTTGGATAACCATGCTGAGACAAGAAGAAGGAAGATGAAAGAGGAGAAGCTTGTTTAACCAAAACAAGTGTTTGAACAGAATCTGACCACAAATATTGCTTGCTATGCAGTTTTGTAATGGCTCGTTAATAATATGGATTCCATACATCCTGTTTTCTCACAAACATATATTTTGCTTCTGCCCTTAGGGTTCTCTCCAGGTGGATTTTGGTAAGTGCAGACCTGTGTTAAAGCCTGTCAGACCAGCAGCCGAGGCTGCTTTAACACGGGGAGAGCCAGTCGCCAATAGAGAGCAGTGTGTACTGCTGGCAGGTGGAAGAGCCTCTGCTGTGTGGAGGGAAGTCATGGAGGAGACAAACAGACGCAGCAGCATCCAGAGTAGTGATTAATGCTGGAGTGGCAGTGAGAATAGCAGTACCTGGGCAAGCAGAATTGGAGGAGTCGAGCCACTGCATCCAGAAGGTATTCAGCCTGAGTTTAGATCATGGCACATTAATATGGGATTCTTCAGTAGGAAGGGATTTGAAATGGGGTAGGGCATGGTTTAGTAAGGTAAGGATTGAAGAAGAGTTTGTGCAATGGATTTTTGATTCTATGAGCAGAAGTTTGGTGATGAAACGAATGAAGTAAAATTAGTTGAGAATGAGAGGAGGAAGACAGGACATTTGAGATGGCTTTTTAAGAAGTACTTAACAAGAATTGTGTCTATGGCACTGTGGACTGTGAACACACAAGATTGAACTGCTTCAGGTATGCAATGACAGTGATTTGGGATTTTTTGCATCCTGGAAAAATGTTTTAAATTTGGTGTAAAAATGGCCTCATCTTTTTTTCTACCATGCTAAAAAATCAGTTGATCAGCCATACTCATGAAGAGATCTTAGGGTATAGAGCTTAGACAGATCTGTTTTCCTCTGATATTACTAGCCAGAGTGGTGTTTGTATGGTGGTGTATGCAAAAACACTTTCTGCGGGAATCCCTAGTGCTACAAAAATTATTTCGTTGGAAGTCAAAGTCAGTAAGGCTACTTTATCTTCTTTCTTTCCTTTTGTTTGTTGTTTATATTCTGCACTGCTGACAGGACTGACAACTATAATGAAGGAAATTAGAAGCTATTGACATGGATTAGTCATTTACAAAACTTACTCGTAGAAAATTCATATATTTTTCTAATAAGACAACTGGATATTTTGTCTAGTATAGCAATTGTCTAATAATAGCAGTAAAGTATTAGTCCTGAAAAAATGCATTTTTGACAAAGGAATTGATACATTCTTTCTCACTGATGAACAGAATCCATCCTTTAAAAACATAAGGTTGTGTTGTACCTGAAGGCACAAAGCAAAGGAAAATGTCCATTCTTAAAAGCTTATTTAAAAAGCATTCTGATACAATTGAAAAAGCATGTTATTTGCTTCAGAAATACTTGCAGTGTGCTTCAGTCCAGGCCAAAAGATAAAAAGATCCCTGGAGCTATTATTGAGAAACTTTCAAATGTTAAATGGAAGCTAATGCTGGCATATCACGAGAAAAGGTGTGCCACAAGAAAATGGAAAAATGCCTTTTCTTAATACTTTTTATATTTCTTTATGATCTTAAAATGTCATACAAAATAAGGTGAAAATGAAGAGAATTGCTATAGTTTTGAGCTAATGATAATTTTTATTTTGTTGTGGTGGGGTTGGCTTCTTAGGTCCTATGGACAAAGGAATGGTGTTCTGTTTTAACAGCAAGAATTTACAAGTTTCATCAAGTTCCTTTGAAAGTGAGGAAGAAAGACTAGAGAAAGGGTGGGAGAGGAAGGGAGAGAAAGAGCAAGATTTTTCTACTTACACAGGGCAGAATGAACCTGAATACTTCTGCCTTAAATTGCTGGTTTTCCTGTATTGCTGTAATACAATATATGCATTTCTTCACTGTTTGTTTGGGGTATTTTTATTTTCTGTCAGGCTCTAAAGACCCACATAGCCTCCTCTTGTAGGCAGATATTTTTAGTCTTAGAATGAGTTGCCATTTCAGATATCCTTCATTTTAAGACTTTCATTTTAATTGTTGCCTAATCCTATGATGTTTAAATTCTATCCCTCAAATATTTTGCCAAGCTAAGTATACTCACAATTGGTTTTTTTTCTTGATGTGAGACTCAGTTACTCCTTTCTATGTTTATTGAAATTAATAAAGTATCAAATCCTTGGGATTGGCATAAAAAGTTGTTTAATGTGTATATCTTATTTTGTAAATATCTTTGCCCTTTGGCTGGCACATTTTTTTAGCAGACTCTGATCAGTATAGTTTGCAACCAGGTGGCTATATAGCCACTATGTAGCTCGTAGTCCTTCTTTTCCTGATTGAACAAGTATTCTTTCTAGGATAAATATTTTTCCTGGTTTGTATGACCTCCTAACTTCATGTTCCTTACATATTGTTTTGAAATAATTGTATTTTATTTTAAACCCTTTTGTACTTTTACTGTTTAGTGTATAATGCTAGTGGAGTATCTCTTCATTAAAGCTGACTAGAAAATTACTTACCATCCTACTTCCCTCCCTCCCCCGCATTTCTGAAGCTCTTTTACCATCATGTTAATTGGGGAAAAATAAAAATGATGAATGGATAATTCTGTTATCTTCTGATTTTGCACTGGGTCCTAAGAATTGAGTAGTTTGGGGTTAATCTTTTAACTCTGTTCAAAATAATACAGTAGAAACATCTCTCAGCCCAAAAGAACAACAAAAGTGGTGTGGTTTCACCTTGTAAATGCCAAACAGGCTACTTTTATGGTGTAAAAGTAAAGGAGAACAATTTAATTTTTAAATTACTACTTTTAAAAATAAAAAAACCACTTTTTTTTCCTTGCTAGAAAGGTTTTTATCAAAAAAATTACAAATAATTTGTTGTGAAACACATTCATGACTGTTTGTAGAATGAGGACACACCATTCCCTGAATATTAGTTGTAGGACAAAAGTAACATAAACCAGATTTTCTGGTTTTAGAAACTGTAAAGAAGGAGCTTGGTCTTCAATAAGCCACTACACTTGTTTATTTTTAATATCTCTTACCCATGCAAATTAAGAGGAAGGAGAAGCTGCTTGTTTATGTCTTGTGAACTTCCTGCTTGCAGCAGCACCACCATAAGTCAGTTGGTCTCAAATTGAATTATTTTTTACTTAAAAAGCTTTGCCATTTCTCCCTCTGGTAAAAAGTTCACTTTTAGAATCTAGATGAATTGGATCACAGCAAAGAAACTTTTGGCTACTGGTAATCAATAAAAGTAATTTGCCATTGGATCCGTTTATCCCGTTTCATTTTAAATGGGTGGGTTGGCCCTGGCTAACAGCGAAGCACTCACACAGCTGCTCACTCACTCCCTTCCTCCCTTCCCTAGGGAGATAGGGAAGAAAATTGTAGGAACAGGAGTGAGAAAACTCGTGGGTTGAAATAAAGACAGGAAAATCACTGTCATGGGCAAAACCACTTGGGGATTTTAACTTAATTTATTGCTAAGTAGCATAAATATTTAATTGGTTGGAGTATTGGGAAACAACAACAAAAAAGGACAAATATTTAATCTTGCAGGAAAAACACATTTCTTCCCACTTTCCCAGGCTCAGCTTCAGATTCCTCTCTGTCACCTTCCTAGTCTCCGCTTCACACCTTCTCTCCAAACATCTCCTCCTGCCACGTTACTGCTGCACGTGGTGCACAGTCCCTTCGAGGAAGCACTGGGTGGCACACAAGGATGAAGTCAGTGCTTGGCTGACTTTCCCTCTGTCACTGCTTGTTGCTCCACAGGCCACAGTCCCTTTGGGCACATACTTGATCCAGTGTGGAACACCTCCCTCTGCTCTGGCCTTCTTGTTCCTGCTTCCTCCTCCTCTCTCTCTGCTCCCCACGGCCCTTCTCTCTGTGTTCCTTGCCCCCAGTATTTTTTGCCCTTTCTTAAATGTTTTTCCAAGGTGCCACTGGCTTGGCTGATGGGCTCAGCTGTGGCCTGCAGTGAGTGCATTGCAGAGCTGGCTGACACTGACTGTGTCTAGCACAGAGCAGCCTCTGGTCTCTTCTCACAAAAGCCTCCCCTGCAGTACCACCCTGGCTGCCAAAACGTTGACCTACCTGTTCTCCTACCTCTTAAGTGACAAGACAAGCATGTGCATCACTGTTCCGTGATGAGAATGAATTCATTTCCCTTGGTGTGACAGGGGTCAGGAGAACATGTGCGATACTTGTGCACGTGAGTAGTGACATGATCAAAATGTTCACTATCCATGTGAATTGCTGAAGAGTACCCATGCAGACTTTTTCTTGTCATGTGTCTGGAAGTGAAGTGGTTTTAGTTCTGTGACAAGAACCTCATGAAAGAAGTAACAGAATCTAGCAATGACTGACCAGTCACAAGCTGGTTTGGTTGCCTTGTGTGGGCAGCCCGTATGCAGAGTAGGCAGGGAGTAAAATGTGAACAACAGTCAGGCTGAGCTCACAGTCTGTTGGCTGGTCACCTCTGACAAGATCTCCCTTGAAATATCATCCAACTTGAGTAACACTAGGGATTGTAATTTCTATTCTGTCAGAACAATGTCAGAGATAAAGTTTATTTCTCTGATCAAACTTGTGATTGTAACCTAAAAACATGTTGGCTATAGCTGACTCCAAGCAGAGTATTAGCCGTATTCCTATAAAATAATCCTTGCTGTTGGATGTAATTACTCTTATCTCTTTTTCTTTAGAGTAATGAAAAATAAAATATGTAAGATGAAATATTCATCAGATTGCTGTGTAGCCTGGAAAAGAAAAATACTTAAATGCATTTCTTGGAGGAAAATTTTGCAACTAAAACTCACAAAGAATTGTCCCTAGTTCTCAGATTTCAGTGGAATTACTCACAGAGTAAGAAACTATTACACCAGAAAGAGTAGTAGAGCACAGCATACTAATTGAAAAATATCATGTTTGTTTATTACACAAAGGATTTTTTTCATATTTTATGCTGAGCGCATGCAGGCATCAAGGTGGGATTTATTTCATGTTACCTTATTCCTTTTTTATAAATCTAGTCTAAACCAGGTGTTTAGGCTTTCTATTCTGTGGGAGAAGGTCATGGGCATCACTTCAAAATTTCATCACACCAATCTTAAGAAGAAATGAATCATCCTTCTAAGATGTCTGTCTCTTCCTAATAATTAGAGGGGAAGCCTAGATAATTAGCTCAAATTAAATGCCTAACTTAGGGATGAATAAAATCATGTGGATTAGTTTGCATCTTGAGTACCTGTTTGCTCTGGGCCATCTAGGCACTTAACTTCTGCATGAATAAAATCAATAGTTGCTAAATGAAGCCTTTTCTTAATTTTTCTATCTGGTACAATCAACTGTATTGAGAACCCTTAAGTGTTGTCATAATACAAATAGAAATAACAATAGAACTAATATGAAAATAATAATTCCACACTTTGAGAACAAAT